GCATTTCACTAAAATTCGCCTATTTCTGGGAAATGCTTATTCTGCAATTCCTTCAAAAAAACCCCCAAAAAACAACAAACAGCCTGACACACGACTGTTAGGAAAAGGAATGTTCACCAGACTAAAACCATGCAATGATTGCATTTTATTTAAAGAACACAAGAACGGCTTTGCTGAATTGAACCAAAAGTCGCTTCCGAATGATACTTGTCTCCGGCCCTGACCAGTAAACGGTCCTGCCTGTGCTTTTACCCTCATTCTTTCATTTATATGAGACTTTAGATGGACAGAGTGAAGCCACAGGACCTCCTCACGGATCTCCTCAAGGAAACTCAGCAACTGAAGGCCTATCTGATGTTTCTGGGCAGCATCCACCAGCTCCCACGTGCCTTCAGCGCCGGAGGGTTCTGCCAGCAACTTGCAATGACACCTCCCCTGACACTTCCCACACATGAAACTTCTCATCTTCTGGCTCTCCTCCCTGGTTCCCTTCCTTTTTTCCGCTCCCCAGATTTATTTCATCTATGAAGGGTCTTTAAAGTTGTTCGAGATGGGCTTACAGCCATCCCTCCCTGAGGACCAAGAGGAACAGCAACAGTAAATCATGCTTAGGCAAAGACCGTAAAAAGAAAATAAAATCAAGGCAAACGTAGCAATACCTTCTCCATTAATACATGTTACTAGCTTCGTAGTATTTGTACTAGAGCAGATACAGTTTGTTGATTATACTATTGCCACTCAGTGGCTCTGCAGAAACAGAATGAGGAATTAGTACCAGCATCCCGGGAATTCTTCAGCCTCCTCAAGTTTTTGCTTAAATCCTAAGTTCTGCTTGGTAGCCCTGTTGGCAAGTGTGATTCATGAATCCTCCCAACCATTTACCCCTAGAGTCACCTCATCTCTCTGGTGCTACAACAGCAAAGCTGAGTGTTCATCACGTTCCACAGAATGAGGTGTCTGCTCTGGTAACAATTCCATTATTCCCGCTGAGTCCTTGATTTATTCTAGCTATTATTCTAATTATTTTCTCCGACCACCTGCTACGTGAGGCACTGTGAATCGGTCTTCTCTGTTATGCTTGCATTTGCCGACAGTAAGTAGCAGTGTGTGTGTGTACACGTACACTACCTGACACTCCTGGCACAAGGACACGGGCGGTGGGAGGAAGCAGAGCGTACGCCCTCCCTGCAGCGTTCTCCCATATGCGGAATGGGGTGAAAAGACCTGAAGTTGAAAGGAAATCCTCTGGGGCTATAAAAAGAATCAATAGTAAGGGAAGAAAAAAGGCATGACGGGGGAAGGAGTGGAGAAGCGCAACGTAACTGGGACACGGGACTGGTACATCCACTGTTTAAAAAAAAGTAACTTCATGATGAAGGCAGGCAAAAAGCCAGTCACCTGACACTGTAAAAAAGAATATAAACATATAACGAAAGATCTAATATACTCACTCCTATCAATAAATTAAAGTTTTGAATAATTATTAATAAACTCGCCAGGAAAACAGTTGCTATACACACACACAACTTTGAAAACCTAGATATGCTTGTGGAAGAGTAACTGATGGGCATCCTAGCTGCTGGAGGGAGGTAGCAGGAAACCCTTCAAAATCAATAGGTCACAAGGGACAGAAGCAATGTTACTCTTGAAACCATAATTACCTGTTCAATTTGAAGAAGCACCCAGTATTTTTCGTACGCAGTCAGCACAATCAGCAAGTTATTACCTTCCCAGGAGAAGCCCCTGCATTTAATATATCAACTGGTAGTGAAGGCAAGGTGCTTAGACCCCCTTCTAAAGTCATTTTGGTTCCTTTTTGTCCTACCTTTCCCTGGTCTGAAAAGCACACGGCTAGAAAGGAGGTTAGCATCACAACAAATAAAGTTATTTTCTCCAAGCTTATTTAGAACTACCGCAAAAGCAAAAATCTATAAGGATCTTTGATACGGCATAGGTGTCTTTGCCCCCAAAAGTCAGAGGTATCTTATAGGAAAATTATAGGGTTTGCGAATTAGGAGAATACTGCATAAAAGAGCACTACTGCTGCTCATGAACAGCTTAGCACCGTTGCAAGAACACAACAGATGCTCTCCACTTGGTTCCTCTCTTCGCTCTCACATTATTTTTATGTAGTAGAAGTGTCTAAATATTTACCAGCGTGGACTAACGTTTATACAGCACGGCATATAAATAAGTTGCTTTAATAACTCAAAGCCATGATATAAAATTTTAAGGCAGGAAATAGAGAATGTGCTATCTAGTTGAATCCCCGGGAAAGACGGAATTACGGTCTGCTGTATACTTCTATTATGTTCACTAGTGCAGGGCTCTGGGAAAAAAAAAAGCAGAGGGTTGCTTTTACCCTCTATTCTCTCCTATTTAAGGCAAAGGATCCTTTAAAAATAAATCATAAAGCATTTGAGACAGGATGAGGAAGGCAGAGAAGGCAAAAGGAAGAGGATAGCTGTCTCTTGTTTACCGTTCCATCTCGAAACATGTCACAGTGATCCACAACCTCTCCACTCTCGTTCCCTGCAGCTCCATTTTCTGAAACACACAGCGACGGCTTAGCTGGGCAGCAACTCTGCAGCTGCCTCTTTCACACGGGTCTTTCTTCATGTGCCGTCTGACGCGGTGGGCACCCTGTGCAACTCCCTAACGCCGGCATGTTTGATTCCTTCTTCTCTCTTTTCTCATACCTTCTCTTTAGAACAACACAGGTATAGTTCTTCTCCATGTCGTTGCGATCTATCACCTCTTCCCCACCAGCCCGCCTCTCCAACTCCCATTTCTCTTCCTCACTCTGCAGCACTCGCATTACTTCTTGAGGGCTTCATCCTCCACACTGATTACTCATCCTCCAGCTCCTCGTCTGTACGTTCGCTGGCATCAAATCTTCACTTGATCTGTGAGCCCTGCTTCAATTTCTGAACTCATTAACAGGGCTGTCGGTTGAGCTGGTCTTCACCCCATCACCCTCTCTGTATTCTTGAATGCCCCCTCTTAAACCATCACCTGGTTTTCTTGTTCCCCTGCTTAGCACTTCCCTTTCCTGGCCCTCCAACCAGCCTTTTTGCCAATTCCAGCCCTTCAGCAAAAAATTCTGATCTTATCTTAACCCTTCCTTTCCTAAATTGAAAAATCTCTTAGTTCTCTTCGAGCCTCATTCTCATCTACTCTCACTTTTCTCATCCTTCCCCATCACAACATGCGAATTCCTTCCCGCCGTGTCCCAGAGCTGGCTCACCATCAACACCGGTTTTCCCAGCTCCTAAAGCCAAGAGACTTCTCTGGCAGAAACAGTCTAACAAGCTGACCTTCTCGGCTCTGTTTTCTCCTTTTCTAGCTTTTCTATGCTCAACTATTTCCCCAGCTTTCTTCTAATCCCCCCTCTCATAATTCCAGCCTTTTCACCGCATTCTTGTCTCCTCTTTCTGAAAACTTTGCCTTCTGCCTTTTCTATTTCTGCAAAAATTGTCATCAATAAATGGACAAAATACAGCATGGCATTACCCTTCCCCCAACAAGCAAGGGAAACTGGAAGCAGTTCAGCATCACTTGAAGTTATACCTTTCAAACAGACTCCCTAAATCTCCTGCAGCGAAACAGGAGCAACTCCAGATCCGACAGCAGAAAAGCCTTAGCCATTTATCATGAATAAGCAGCAAAGAATAATAATCACTAAGTACTTTCTATGGAAGCTTGTAATTCTGCCTTAAATAATTCCTCCCTCTTCAGTTTTACATCTTGCAAATACCTTAGATTACTGTCTCCTCTTCACTGGGTGTTACCCAAGGTTAGCTCTTTAAATCTTTTAGTCATTATTGCTATTCTTCCACAACAAATTCTCTCCAGCCTAATATTACTTCAGTAATGACAGGCTCATAAAGAACCCAGAACTGCAGCTGCACCTTCATGGGATATTGAGTAACGGACTCAGGTTTTGCCTTACCCTGCATCACAAGTAATTCTACGAAAACACAGCTAATGTGATGTCCACCCTCCATCTCCTTCAGTGTTATAAGAAAACAGTTCAGGAGCAACAGTCTGGGGCAGGAATTTTGAGTTAACTTTCAGCTGACTTCACCTCTAGTTTTGTGCACATCGCTTTGCCCCAGCCTCTCATTTTGTCTCAGGAACACAGTATTTGCTGAGTACTACGACGTTATGGTTATGAAGAGCTCAAGGAATTCTGCACAAAACGCCTTACAAAAAGTACCTACCGCAGTTTCCAAAATTTCCTTCGTGTACTGTAGAGCTGCGTTTTCAATTGCTTCTTTCTAGATGTACCTGCTTGCAGCGTACCAAGATAAACCACTGCTTTCTGCCTGCGCTCCTAACCAATATACTCCATCGCATTGATAGCTTTTTAGTGCCAGAAAGCACCTAGTCTGACCTTGCACAGAAACATACCTGCAATTCCTGTATCAGGACTGCAATTTCTGCACTATTTTAAAAAGACGACCAATTTTGACTTACAAAAATGTAATGAAAAAAATAATCTACCACACTACCAGATAAAATGGTTAATCCCCTACACTATTTACCATTCGCTCTTTTTTCATTTCAATTTCTCTTGAAATGATTTTATATTTTCTTCCACGTCATTGATAAAGATATTGAATAGCACTCAGCCAAGAACAGAGATGCTATATAATACACCTATACACTCTACTTTGCAATTAATTACCTTCGAGATAGTATGCTTTTAACTTTGAATCATTTACTATTCTAAATCCAAGGAAAGAAAACCACCTTGGAAAAAAGCATAGACCCGAGTGACTCAGTCTTTCATGAGGCAAGGATATAATTTTCTGGATGAAGTAGTTCAACAAATCTTTCTCGCCCTCCACCTTCAAAAATGAATTTTAAATTATTTGTCCTTAAGAAACAATTCTGGCCTGGATCGTAACTAATAGCTGAGCTAAGAAAGAGAAGCAGCATTAGATGAAAAAACTGGAACGCACTAGAAACTCCGGGTTATTTTAAGCCATACTCACAACAAACTGGTCCATGTCCCTTTCAAGGCCCACGTTTGGGAGATCAGGCATCATGTGCGCCACCACTTTAAAGCCGGCATCCTTGGCTAAGTGAAAGGACTCGCACACAGCCTTCACGGTGTGACCTCTGGGAAGAGAGAAGAGAGATTCAGGATCACACAGAAAAAGACATATTTTGACAGGTTTAATTGAGATTATTCCCTGGGAAGTGAGAAGGGTTGAGTTTTACTATTACCACCCAAGTCTTGGAACATCGCTGCTAATAAAGTAAACTATACCAGGGGCTAAAAGTAGTCCAGTTTGCTACTTCTATAGCAGGTGAACCCTACCGAGGCTACAGCTATTCAAATCACAGCCTGAGAAACTTTTGAAAGCTGCTGAAATTCAATTTGTAAAGCAATGAGACAAGTTGATGCCACAGCACAAGCTAGGACACACTGCACTGAAGGCTGTGTATCATCAAAATGAAGCATAACCAGAAACAAAAGCAACAGAAGAGCAAAAGGAGAAGAAGGATGGGGGGCTACGTAAAACCAGCTAGCTAGAAAATCATCCTGCAACATGCTTGCTGAACTCTCAAGTATTCTTTTTAGAGAAAAACAAACTCTTCTCAACTTCTGAGAGGTGCCAAACCTCTGAAACATAGGCTGGATTGGGACTCTGGAAGGATTTCATGTTCTTCTCCACTGACATCGAACCAAACTAACTCAGGCTTGTGCTGCAGGAGCTCGGAGAGAGCGGGAGCACAAACGATTGCAGGAACAAAGGTTGCATCTCACGTAACTCGCTAGCCTCAAGCAAACTCCTCTCTCCTTCCACCTCCATGGCTGAGGAGCTGCCTTCTGCCTCCACAATAGCAATCACTGTCACTACAAACAGCTACTAGGTCCCCATCACATGTCAACAGTCTTCCCGCAAAGTCCTTGCTTTTGCTCTTCCGCGCCTAGGAGGGCTCTTCCACTACTGGCTGACATTGCCATCCTCTCAGCATCTGCTACCTTCTTCCCTCTCCAATCCTCATTTTCTTCCCATCCCACTTCCACACCAGTTCACCCTGTCTTTTGGAATTCCTTGCCAACAGATTAGCTCAGCAGGTGACTCTTCTCCTCGACAGTCCTTTGGATGAAAAATTAACGCCATCTGGGCATCTCTACAAATGCATGCCTTCTGCCGAGACCTGACGTTAACCAAACCAACCAGCTACTTCCCTTGTTTTAAGGACCTCTTCCTTCTTCTTCACTGGAAGATTCTGCCTCTGTTAAACCCCTACGTGTAGTTTTATGACTCTAGTTTTATTTATGGGTTTTTTTTTTCAGAAGTATTACGGTGTTTTTCTGAGACTGTTCAAGGACAGTATTACTCAAGACCTTGAGTAGCCTGAGGGGAGTCAATGGAGACTTGCTTCATAAATAAAAATTATTTTCTTATTAGAAGTGGAATATAAGCTGCATCAATAACTTGATTATTTGATGCCTAGATATGTTCTTGAATATTTTTCTGCCTCACAGCCACCAAAAGCACTCAAAAACCTCACTAATGACTTATGGAACATAATAGAAAGTAATTTCCAAACAGTTAGCCTAATTGGTTGTAATCTGACATTTTGCTATGAGCAAAATATTAAAAGTTTAAAGCCAAAACACATCCCCCACAAAGCAGAAGAACAGAAGCAAAATGAGGTCGTTTCAAAAGAAAGAGAAACTTGAATCATCCTTCTCTAAAAGTATACTCCGATTCATTGTGCTAAAAAGTCGGAGGGAGAGATTTGAGTGAACAGCCTGCGTTTTCCCTGCTCTGAGACAGCCTGCAGCAAAGCCTTTTAGGAATTCTGCAAGCAGCTTTGACAAGTGCCAAAAACCTTTAAAAATGCAATTCTATACAGGATTACCTCTGAGTGAAATCAAGTCAGTAATATACTACTTCATTCTTCTTCTGATTCATCAGCAGGAAAGCAAGGGTTCATTAGCAAACGTACAAGCCGCACGTGACATACAGCTTTGAATGATTTATGGCACCCGTTCTGATGTGACAGACAAAACTGGAGGAAAACTGAAGATGACTGAAGTGATAGCTAAGTGGGGTTTTACAGTTCCACCTCAGGATGGGACACTTTTAAAAGATTCGAGGTGAAAAAAGAAGATTTTAAAAGCTGAAGAGAAATTAATTGGCAAATTTACAATCTCTTTGAGAATTAACTGTTAATGAACCCGTCTAGTCTAAGAGTGAGACTTAGCTGCATTCCTTAGTATGGATCTTTTCCTTTGGAAAGCTCTGACATCTAGAGGAGGAAAGTACCTCCTAGAAATATTAGCTCTTAACTCTTGGACTACTCAATAAATGGCTTTTGCTGTCTACTGAGACCTGGAGCCTGACCGTTTCATAGCAGTGACACCCCGCACTTCCATGCACCAGCGATACTACAGCTAAACCCGCAGGAGGAAACTCATTTTGGATTCTTTCTTTAAGTGCCTAAAAGAAAATGTCCAACATTTTCAGGTTTGCACTACTGCCTTTAAGGTAGGTATTAACAAAAATGCGCTTTGCTTATTGAACCATCATCTCTCTGTCATTACGTATGATTACGGTTATTAAACATCTTTGGTAGGCGACTGGAATATGCAATAAGAATGAAGGCAAGTTGTACGAGTGTCAGAAGTGAAAAAACAAGAAAAAAATGACTGCTTTCAAAATCTGAACAGAATTATAAGACTTGCAATAAAAAAAAAAAAGAGACTGGCTTACTTGCCTGTAAGGGATGAGATGAACAATATATTGCACACTCTCCTCTGTAGGACAACTGTTCTTTTAGCCATAGGTCCAATATGACAAGGAATAAATCACAGGCCTCCTGTGAATATATTTTGTAATCCCTAGAGGTACTGTATGCCTAGAATGACTGGTTAATCTATCAACAGGTGTTGTTTCTGGCTGTGCCTCGCCCTCTGTACTTGCCAATGTCATCTTTCCTCTCCAATACTCAGCACAAAAAGGTATCTGGTGTAGAGAACGTGTTGTTTGCTGGTAAAGTACCTCCAGTAGATTATAATGCATTGTATCTACTCAAGCCTAGAGATCATGAATTATGTAGGACAAGAACTATGAGCTCTCTCTGGGCACATGTTCTACTTCACAAAACTGCATTTATTTATGAAGCAATAAAAAAAAAAAAGATATGTACAATACAGGAAAAGAACATGATTTTCAAATAAAACATCACAAATAACCCCATTTTCTCAAGCCATGGTCTCTACAGTATCACAAAGAAACCCACGAAGCCACTGCAGTTTATTAGTTTTTCTTAACAGACATATGGCTATGCAAGCAAGGAAATGAGCTAAATGTTTCAACATTCAGTGTTAAATGGGTGTTCAAGCAAAGAGGTCCAGACACGCTACTCAGGAGTATTCCAGAAAGCCCACACTGAGCAGCCAGGCTCAGCTTCTGTCCTCGTTTCAGCTAGGATAGAGTTAATTTTCTTCTTGGTAGCCAGTATGGGGCTGTGTTTTGGGTTTAGGATGAGAACAATGTTGATGATACACTGATGTTTTGGTTCTTGCTAAGTAGTGCTAAGTGGAGCTCACGCTGGTCACGGACTTTTCACCTTCCCATGTTCTGCTGGGTGCACAAGGAGCTGGGAGGGGGCACAGCCGGGCCAGCTGACCCCGACTGGCCAAGGGGCTACTCCGTACCACATGACATCATGCTCAGTATATGAGCGGGGGGAGTCGGCCAGGGGAGGGGCAATGATCGCTGCTTGGGGGACGTGCTGGGCATCGGTCGGTGGGTGGTGAGCAACTGCACAGTGTATCGCTTGCTTTGTATTACTATTGTACTATTATTACTTGTTTTTATGATTATTGTTATTATTACTATTACTACTGTTCTATTTTTGTTTTACCTCATTTATTAAACTGTTCTTATCTCAACCCACGAGTTTTCCCCTTTTGCCCTTCCGATTCTCTCCCCCATCCCACCAGTGGGGGAGTGAACGAGCGGCTGCGTGGTGCTTAGTTGCCAGCTGGGGTTAAACCACAACACTTCACACTGAGGCTTTCTTCTCACCTGTTGGTGTCCCTGGCCACGTCCTCGTACACGCTCTGCACCCCGATCTCCAGCCTCGTACAGCCGTAGGACAACATGTCACTTAAATGCCGCTTCAGGCAGTAATCCGGTCTGGTCTCTATCGTTATCCCAATGCATTTTGTCAGGCTTCGTTCTGAATACCTGCAAAAAAACCCCATCCTCTATTAAAATTGTGAAGTTGTCACAAGTGACTTCAGAAGAGTTTCCAACATCCTCCAGGTGAGAGTTTCTACGTCACTACCGGAATTAAAATCCAGGTTACAACCCTCAAATATCCCAGCAGCAAGGGAACACTCAACCTTACTGCAACGCATGGATGAAACGATACACAAATACGCACGCTAATACAAGTCCGGGGTTTGCTTTGTATAAAAGAGCACTGGACTGTGGCAGCCTCGCAGGGCTTTTTTAAACAGCACTGGTTAGGAAGGCGCTCCCAGACCAGACTGAGCCTTCGGTACTCATCATCTGGAAACGAAGCCTGGGCAAAAGGGAAAGGCAGAGTAGGCAATGAGAACCGTGCTCAGTTTTGGGGACAAACCAAAGGAGTCTGAGCACTCGCGCCTGCTCAGACACTGACAATAATACAGGACCTCATGCCAGGCAGAGTTTGGTATAGCCAGTACATTTTCATTTGATTCCCACGGTGTACAGATAAATTGCAGGGATTGGGACAAGATCCAGCCGCGTTCTCACAAGAAAACGTACAAGATCACCTATGAAAAATTCCACAAATCACCTCCTTTTGTGAGCAAGTGGCACGCTCTCAACTTCATTGAAGTCTAATTCTGAAACAAAATTAATTGTTAACCTTTTTCCCCCACCTCTCCCATTTATCACTGGATGTCTAACAGAGACTAATTATTCCAGCTAGTATAAAAATCCTCTACTGGTGACAAATGGTAAGTTACTGACCTACGAGAGAGTAAAGCAAAAGAAAAAAAGGAATCCAAAGCAGTCTCAACCCAAAGTTCACAAAAGGAAACCATCGGTCAACATAATCTCCAGCATCGCCAGCAAGGATAATATTCCTTTCCAGGCAGGAATCATTTCACTTGACCATCTTTCCTGCGGAATATGGTGGTTGTATAACAGGACTGCAGCACGGGAGAAAAGATTTACAGCAGGAGGAAGGAAACTTCTTTTGAAACCATTTGAAACTGCAGAGAATCTGGATAATTCCCAAACCAGGATGTGGGCAGGATTAACAACCACCGTTTGAGAGGAATATCGGTCTCTAATGGTCCCAAATGATGGACATCTCAGTATTAATATTAAATGTTGCTGAAAAGAGGACACCTTGAGTAAGAGAGAGATGTTATGCTGATACCTGAAAGAATATTGCACACCAAAATCACAAGGATGACTAACTTCTGCTCTTTATTAGGTGTTCTATAAAGATTCATCATCCGATTTCCAGCTCCAGATAGCTTGAAACGTCTGAATCAAAAGAAAGCTCCAGAGCCTACCTTAGAGCATGATGGAGGTCCAATTTGACCAAAAAAGCCCAAAAAACAACAACAAAACCCCCCACCCTCAACCCCGCCAAAAAAAAAAACCAGCAAAAAACCCAAGTGGGCTCAGACTCAGAAGCGAAACTATTAACTCCCCTCAAAGTGTTAAAGCCTAAGATCTGTAAAAACCAAGATATTTGCAGGATAGACTGTAATGGCTGTCAAAATCAGCATCTTAAAAAAAAAAAAAAAAGGCAACAAAAAACCACGTAAAACATTTCAGAGTTTGTGGCTCGCTAATCTGACAGACTAACAGAACAATTGTGTATCACGTCAGGGAAAACATTGCCAACGTGCGACTCATTAACATCAGACTGAAAAACGCTCATTTGTGAAGACGTGATTTGCAAGAATTAAAGAAATTTTAGCTGGGGGGGGAAGCCACCAGATAACTCGCCCATCACGCCAGAGGGTACTCGCTCATATTAAGCACCTGCAATCATGGCTAGAAATACTGACGGGAGAAAAAAAAAAATTGTATCCCCCTCCCAAGCAAATTTATGGCCAAGATTTGAAGTGCTGAATATAACAAACACCAACAGACCCTAAAGTGTAAAATCTACTAGGGCACCATCGGGATTTCAGTATGGTGTAATGGCTGGTACAATCGTCTTGCCCAACTCTACGCTGAAAGAGAAGACTGCCTTAACGATAACCAGAAAAGCAAAACAAAGACGAACCCAAAACAGATAAAGTAACAAAGATGGTATTTCCAAGAGAAGTCACAAGCCTCATCGAATCACCATCTTCTGTAAGATACAGGCATTTCCAACCCGAGCCACAAGTCCTCCAGCTCTCCCCAGCAGTCCCAAAGACTTGTAGTGAGTAAAGGCAGTCTCATACTCTATTTTATTAACGTAAAAGAAAAGCTTGAATCACGTGGTCCATATTTAATGAAGACTACAGATTCTCTTCAACTAATTGAAGAGAAAGAAGTGTGTGACAGCCAGCCTTCCACAGAAGGTGATTCTGGCAACACATCTCCATCCTTTCCTCAATAAAGCAAGAGAAATTTGACTTTTCTTCTGTCTTTTCTCCACTTTCAAACTTTGAACATTCATCTGGATATTCAACGTCTTTCCTATTTGCAACATGAGCAACTCTATTTCATTTGAAACCTAATACTAAAATTAAGGGCAGGCACAAATTGTAAGATTGTAAGTTAAGAAGCCAAACACAGTGGACATGAATTAAAAGCTTTACTAGATTTACATAATGTGTCATTTTATGGAGGGAGTTACCAAATAGTACTCATAAAAGCTGTACCGGTCATCATTATGCAGCACAAAACTGCATTATATAACTAAGTTAAATTTTTATTTTTTAAAAAATAAATCCGTCAGTGTTTAACATTTAGTTTCATCATTTCCCTATGCATGATCAGCACCTCCGTCACTGACCGAGGCAACGGTGAGCTATAGCAGAGAGCTTGGAGACCTGAAAAGGGCAGGACATACTATATAAAAGGTTATCTACTCCATACTGGATTTACATCAAGACGGACACTGATTTTTTTTTTTTTTTAATGAAATTGCCAAGATCTCTTATTTTAAAGCACAGTCAGGATCCGAGACAGATACTTAGCAGCCAACAGAGAAAAAGAAAAGAGGAACTGATGTATGCTTAAGAGTAACACTTTTTTTTAGTGGAGAAAGCTTTTGGGCTTTTTTGTTTTTATTTTTTAAGCAGTATATCTTTGAAATCTGACCCTGATTTGCAGGTCTCAAGTCAGATTTTTTATTATTCATCAGTGATTTATGTAACAATTTATAGTAGATTGACTATTGCAACACTGACTTTGCTCATCTCCTACTTTCAGTGCCCAGGTTTCATCGTAACTGCCCACTGGAAACATGGTGGTTTCCCACATTTCTAGCAGGTTGGGTAGGCACATTTTTGCCCTGGCAAATCCGGGTTGAATCTTCCTGGCGACCTTCCTGACTATGGAAGCAGCTTCCACAAAGACATGCTCCATAACGTCCTTGGGGACCAAGGCGAGGCTTACCAGCCTGCAGTTCTCCTTCTCACCCTCTTGAAGACAGACACGACACTTCCAGTCACTGGGGCCCTCTCAGTTGTCATGATCTCTCCCAGGTGAGATGGAGCTGCCTCACTCATCCCCTTCCATAGACTTGCACGTCTCCAATTTGCCGGTGGTGTCCAGTGCAGTCCTCTGCCATGGGCACCACCTCTCACCCCAAACCACCTACCAAGAGCAGATCTTGCAAATAAAAACCAAGGCAAAGAAACCCTGCGTACCTCAGCCTTTTCCTGTGTCCTTCATCACAGAGTTGCCTGCCTCATCCAGCAGCAGATCCACATTTTCTTTTGTCTTCATTTGCTGACAAACGTACCTATGGAAGTCCTTCTTGTTGCCCTATAAGCCGCTGGAGTTTCAACTCCAGCTAAACTTTCCTAATGTGCCCTCTGCCTGCCTGTATCCCTCCTGGGTATCCCATACCTCCTTTCACCTTCTCCGCATGGTCCTTTTTTCATGTTTGAGCTCCATCAGGACTTCCCCATTAACCTGCCTCGTTTCCTGCACATCAGGATGCCTTTGCAATTTGAGGAGGTCGTCCTGGAAGATACTCAGACACAAGAAGTTAAGACGACCTTGATGATGACCAAGACAAGCTCACTTGGGCTTATTCACCCTTCAGGGCATCCTCCCATGGGATCCTGCCTTTCGGTTCCCTGGAAATGTTCGTCTCTTGTCCTGAATTCTGACGTCTTTATTCTGCTACTTGCATCCCTCAGGACCTTAAGCTCTAAGATCTCAGAGTCACTGCAGCCAAGACCACATCCCTCCCTCAACCAGCTCTGTGCAAGCAGCAGATCCAGGACAGCACCTCTCCTAGGCCCTGGATGACCCAACTACTTCAAAACATCATAATGCGCTCCAGAAATCTCCTATATTAGTTGTGTTCCACCATGTTGCCATTCTAGCAGGTATCAGGGTGTCAGGCTGGATTCAAGGAGTTTTGTAGATTGTTCCTTAACTGCATATAGTCTAATGCTTACATCATTTTCATACCTTTTCTTAGCACTGTTTCCAGTTTTTAAGCATTTTTCTTGTTGCCTTTGATACCAAAAACAGCCACAGAACTTTGCAGACACACCAGTACTATATCCAGATGGAATATGATTTGCCTATTCCTATCCAATTTTCCACTATTTATACAGTCAAGGGTAATTTGGCTGCTGAATCATACAGAAAGCTCATGATAATGCAACTTAACTCCTAAATATTTTCTAGATATTTCGCTGCTTCTCAGAATAGAATCCTGCACCATTCCTAGAAAAACAGCTTTACATTTTCCCATAATAAAGTACACAGCTTGCTCGTATACAACTTACCATGGAACACAGATTTATCCCTTATTTGCCCATCTCCAATACTGATAGCTCCTGCCAACCCTTAGAAATTACTATTTTAACACAAGTATTAAACATAAGGCCCAGAGGCAAAAACAACAGAATCCTATTAGAAACCATTCAGGTCAATGACAATTTTCTGCTATGCCTGTTTTGAAAACCAATGTAATGGGTGACATGTTGTTCTAGTCTCTTTTTTAATGTCAAAATACCTCGCTGTACCATCTCTTGCAGAAGTTTATGCATATTACA